ACATTTTATTTAGGCCTATCTATGGCCATCAAAAAAGTTGACGACTCTACATGTTTCGACTCATGAGGATGACGTTGTAATGTCGAAACATGTAGAGTCGTCAAATTTGTGAAGGCCATAGATAGGCCTAAATAAAATGTTTTTAATTGTGTACCAGTTTAACGTTGAATATTATTTGCGATTTTAAATTTGCTGTTACGTTTAGGTGCTATTGGTCAATTTAAATCAGCTGAAGGATCATAATGACTTCAATTTCTGTTCGTGTAGGTGTGCCCACATATACCTTGGCCATGGATGTTTTTCTCGTTTGGAGGATTAGGGGCTGTTTGGGTTTTACTGTGGCTTGTTTTATACACAGAAGTCCGAAGCTTTGGTCAAGAGGAGCTGCCTATGGTTTTTCCAAAGGTTTAACTTTTTTGTAGCTAAAAATTTATTAAGAGTGTACTTAGAGGTATGAGTTGTTCAGAGTCTTAAACTCACAGAGAACAGCTGTAAAACATTCAAGTCTTGTTACATTAATAGATATTTAATTCAGATTCAGTTTAATCACTTGACTGCTTATTTGTTGGATAGTGAGTAGCTGAATAAAATAAACTGGTGAGTACTTAAGTAAAAATTAAGTACTCACCAGTTTATTTTACTTAACTACTCACCAACTGATTTTACTTAAGTACTCACCAGTTTATTTTACTTACTACTCACCAACTGATTTTACTTAAGTACTCACCAGTTTATTTTCTTAACTACTCACCAACTGACCATACATCTTGTTTAACTGATAATCACTAGTTGATTTTATTTAATTACTAATCATCAGTTGATTTTTCCTAACCGGTCAATAGTTGATTTTCCTTAAGTACTCACCAGTTTATTTTACTTAACTACTCACCAACTGATTTTACTTAACTACTCACCAACTGATTTTACTTACTACTCACCAACTGATTTTACTTAACTACTCACCAACTGATTTTACTTAACTACTCACCAACTGATTTTACTTAAGTACTCACCAACTGATTTTACTTAACTACTCACCAGTTTATTTTACTTAACTACTCACCAACTGATTTTACTTAAGTACTCACCAACTGATTTTACTTACTACTCACCAACTGATTTTACTTAAGTACTCACCAGTTTATTTTACTTAACTACTCACCAACTGATTTTACTTAACTACTCACCAACTGATTTTACATAAGTTATCTAAATTTGCTAAAATTTATAAAGTGTGTTCTAACCATTCAAATATTTGTCCTGTTGAACTTCGTAGCCATCACTGTTTTATAATGAATCCTGTTATTTAAGGCTACTTCTTTTATTGAAATATTTATAATTTGTTTCACATTGAAGTTGTTAGAAGTAGATATTTGTATAATAAAAGCCACTCTCTGTTCAGAATGGGCTCGGCATGGCCAGGTGGTTAGGGCGCTCGACTCGCAATTTGAGGGTTACCGTTTCAAATCCCCGTCACACCAAATATGCTCGCCCTTTCAGCCGTTGGGGCATTATAATGTGATGGTCAATCTCACTAATCATTGGTAAAAGAGTAGCCCAAGAGTTGGCAGTGGGTGGTGATGACTAGCTGCCTTCCCCCTAGTCTTAAACTGCTAAATTAGGGAGGGTAGCATAGATAGCCCTTGTGTAGCTTTGCGCGAAATTCAAAACAAACAAACAAACTGTTCAAAATGATCCTTTTGTTAGTAATGCTTGACTCTGCTGGTAATGTTCAGAATGGCTCAGTGGTTTGTGTCAAAGAAGTCTCGAGTTCAAATACCAGTCAAGTGGAGATTTCATGTTAATTTTTTATATATCTTTTAAATATTTATTACCGTATTTACAGCAAGCTAATTATTGTATATTAAACTGAAATTATTAATTTTTCCAATGTTTAAAATTTTATATCAATATTAACATTGATCAGTCAGTTTACTTATGTGCTGAATGGTCAATCTGAGATAAATCTTATTAAGAACAAAACTGTTTTTTTTTTTGTGAGGAATTTCACAAAGAAAATAGGTCTTCCTCCTTTGACTAATTGAAAAAAAAATTTTAAGATATTAACATGAATGTAAAAAATGCTTAGAGGGAGGAACATGTTTGAGTACATATTTGTTGTTGTTTGGTTTATATATTTTTTTCATGTTGGTATTATATACATATACATGATTCTATTGTACCATGTTGAATGAATTCATTTGAAGTGAATTGAATATCTCCCCTTTGACAATTCTCATAGGAATAACAGCTGTCTGAAAGCTCACTTCAGTAGCGGCCTTTTCTTGCACTCAGTTAAGTGACAAGGAATGATGGCATCCAGCAGGAAAAAAATCACTGCAGCCTACTTGGTGCTCTATTTTGCTACATGAACTCATTGCATCGAAACCCAAACATTTTTGCCAACAGTGCATTGTAGTCGGTCTCCTTTGCTTAAAAACAAACGCAATGCAATTTTTGTTATTGAAAAAAAACATGGAATGACAAAAGATGGTTTTAAACGGCCCACTAGACAATCATATTGCATATACACTCTGATCCAAGGGATTGGGTTAACTGTACATTTTTAGAAAAATTACTGTTGATTGAATTGTTTCAGTGGGCCTCTGCCAGTGAATATATAATGGGTGAAACTCATTTTGTTATGTTTCTGTGCTCTTTTGTATGTGTGTGTGTGTGATAAAAGTATTGGTTGCAGCATTCCAACTATTTCAAGTGCTGACCACAATCCTCTTCTATTTCCAGGTTACTAACATTAATGTAAGATGGACAGAATTTATCAGCCACTGGCCATTATGGGCTATTTATGTTTCTCATTTTGCTATGAACTGGTCGAACTATATAATAATGCAGTGGCTACCGACGTACTTAGCACGCAGTCTTGGTGCAAATAAAGAGGATATCAGTCTTACTGCTGTGCCTTATGTTATCAATTCATTGTTTAACGTAGGTAGGTTGACCTTCAGACTGTTTTTATAAAACTGTATCGTACTAAAGATTTTAAGTTTGCTTCTTTTTTTTCTGAGCTGTGTTAACAAGAAAAATAAAAAATATACGGTGAACTTTGTATGTATAAAATATTGGTTGGTGGTTAACATTCTGTTTTCCTTAATTTTTAGGAAATTACTTTTGTTTGGCATAGATTTAATTATACTTTATAATTATCTAATATATATATTTTTTTATAAGAAAGAAATGTAATAATGGTTATATATCTTTCAATATATTATAATATATACAATATATTTATATAATTATTCTATTATGATAATATATTTATATTGATTTGCTAAAAACCCTCTAAATTTAAAGTTTCAGAAAATTTGGAAATGATTCTGCTTATATAGTCTTGAAAGTTCACGACATGGATGAAAACCAATAAATGGGTTCTTTTACTTCATGTTGATATTTATTAAACAGAAGCTTTCAGTTTAAACAGGTTCTTTTACTCCATGTTGATATTTATTAAACAGAAGCTTTCAGTTTCTGAACTGTATCATGATAATGGGTATAATACAGCAGCTGAAACTTCTCAATAAATATTAATGCAGAATATAAAACTTGTTTATTATTT